TATAAACAGTTTTCTCTCATATCTATTTGGGCCTTTTCAAAGCACAACCTGACTATTTAGAAAGTGGATCCAAAATCCTGAAGAAAAGTGTCATAATCCTATGTTTCCATATGTAAAATCATAATTCTCTGTTTTAGAAATTCCTGTTAAACATATAGGTTATCCATGCTAATGTTCTAATTGTTGACGAAGTGGCAGCCATCGAGTGCTAACTTGTCCCGTACCTCATAAACCTGTGTGCCCTCTATTTTGAAGGGGGCTTCTCCAAAGCCACCCTCTCCACTGCTGCTCTTTCTCAGACTTTGTTCCATGGGTCATCCCCTCTTTCTCCAGCATCCTCAACATCAGTCTCCTAATTGGTTCCTTAATGCCAGCCTATAGACATACTCATCATGTCTGTTCTATCCTAAAAAGATTTTCCCTTGATCCTTATCTAATTACTGCTCTATCTCTGTGACAATAGTCAGCCTACAATAAGCTTCATACACAACAAGTGGAGATAAAACTGTAATATCATTATTAGAAATTATTCCTGAACATTTGTTATTAGTCAATAATTATAAACTTGTCACAACAAATACTATTATTTTAAGAACTGATACTTTTATTGAAATGTGTCATGCTTTTAGGTTTATATCTCATTGGATCAACCTATGACTGCTTTAAATCTTTTCAAACGAGGTTTAGATAAGTTTCCAGGAGAAGTAACCCTGCTCTGTGGAATTGCCAGAATCTACGAGGTAAGGTTCATATAATTGTTATTATTTTTTCATGGGTATATAGTGGTTGTACATATTTTTTGGGTACATGTAATATTTTAATGCCTGTATACAGTGTGTAATGATCAAATCAGGTGATATTCATCACCTCAAATATTTGTCTTTGTGTTGGGAACATTACAATTCTTCTCTTCTAGCTATTTTGAAATATATAATAAATTATGAACTATAATTTCCCTATTGTACCATCAAGTGCTAGAACTTAATCCTTCTATCTAACTGTATTTTTATATCCCTTAACTAACGTCTCTTCATCCTCCCACCCCCCTTCCCTACCCAGCCTCTGGTAACCACCATTCTTCTCTCTACCCCCATGAGATCCACTTTTTTAGCTCCCACATATGAGTGAGAACATGTGCTATTTGCCTTTATGTGCCTGGTCTGTTTGACTTAACATAATGAGCTCTAGTTCCATCCAAGTTGCTGCAGTAACAGGATTTCATTCTTTTTCATGGCTGAATAATATTTCATTGTGTATGTATACCATATTTTCTTTATCCATTCATCTGTCAATGGACTTTTACGTTGATTCTGTATCTTGGCTATCATGAATAGTGCTCAATAAACGTGGGAATGCAGATGTCTCTTTGATATACTGATTTTCATTCTTTTGGATACATACCCAGCAGTGGGATTGCTGGATCATATAGTAGTCCTATTGTTAGCTTTTTGAGGTGCCTCCGTACTGTTTTCCATAATGGCTGTACTACTTCACATTCCCAACAACAGTATATGAGAGTTTTCCTTTCTCCATATCTTCACCAACATTTGTTATTTTTGTCTTTTTGATAATAGTGATTCTAACTGGGTGAGATGATATCTAATTGTAGTTTTGATTTGCATTTTCCTGATGATTAGTGATGTTGATTGAACATTTTTTCATATACTTCTTGGCCATTTGTATGTCTTCTTTTGAGAAATATCTGTTCAGATCTTTTGCCCATCTTTAAAATGGATTTATTTGTTTTTTTGCTATTTCGTGCTCCTTATATATTCTGGTTATTAATCCCTCGTCAGATGAATTTACAAATATTTTCTCTCATTCTGTAGGTTGTGTCTTCACTTTGTTGATTGCTTCCTCTGCTGTGCAGAGGCCTTTTAGCTTGATGTAATACCAAATGTCTGTTTTTGCTTTGGCTGCCTGTGCTTTTGAGGTCTTACACAAAAAATCTCCGCCCAGACCAATGTCCTGGAGCGTTTCCCCAATGTTTTCTTCTAGCAGGTTCATAGTTTCAGGTCTTAGATTTAAGTCTTCGATCCATTTTTATTTTATTTCATTTTTGTGTATGGTGAAAGATAGGAGTCTAGTTTTATTCTTCATTATATAGTTATCCAGTTTTCCCAGCACCATTTATTGAAAAGACTTTCCTTTCCCCATTGTAGGTTCTTGATGCCTTTGTCAAAGATGTGTTGATTGTAAATGTGTGGATTTTTATCTGGGTCCTCATGCTGATTTGATTACTGTAGCTTAGTAGTATATTTTGAAGTCAGATAGTGTGACGCCTCCAGCTTTGTTCTTTTTGCTCAGGATTCCTTTAGCTATTCTGAGTCTTTTGTGGTTCCATGTGAATTTTAGGATTTTTTTTTTATTTCTGTGAAGAATGTCATTGGTATTAATATTTTGATAGAGATTGCCATATTGTCTTAAAAGTTGATGTAAAATTGAGGTTATGTGCCACTTAAGTAAGCTCATAGTCCCTTGGGGTCCTAGTAAGGAGAACAATTTATAAAATTATGATTGTTGGCCTGTGGTTTACCAGTAAAATAAGAGATTTTAATGTATGCATTTAATCAAACTAAGCTTTTATTATGAAATATTTCAGACACACAGAAGAGTATAGAGAATGGTACAAGATAGGGATTTAAATTATTTTCCCTGTATGGATAGCCTATTGTCCCAGCACATTTATTGATTCTTTCCCAAGGTTTGTAGTGTCAAATATCAATTTTTTTCCATATAGGGTGGATATGTTTTAGGACTTTCTATTCTGTTCCATTGGACTGTTTGTCCACCCTTGTACCAATATTATACTGCCTTAATTACTAGAGCTTTGTGATACTATCTGGTACAGTTCATTTTATCAGGAGTGTCTTGGCTATTTTGGACTTTTGCTTATTCTTATAAATTTTAGAGTCATGTTGTCAAATTCCATGAAAAGTTCCATTGATATATCTTTCCTGCTGACTAATTACTATAGCTTTACAATAATTCCTGATATCAGATTAGTTAAATTCTACCACCTTGTTCTTCATAGTTGGTTATTCTTGGCCCTTTGCTCTTCCATGCTGATTTTAGGATTGACCTATCAAGAACCATTAAAAAACCCCGTAGACATATTGATTAGAATTATATTGAATATATCAGTGATGGAAGGTGGGTGGGTGGGCTGCCATTCTTCCCGTTCTCAGTCATGATATAACTCCCCCATTTACTTAGATCTTCTTATTGGTCCCTCAGTGAATATTTTGTAATTATCTCCAGAAAGATGATGTGTGTGGGGGAGTTCCCCCAAACTACCCTGAGATTCAGTGATTTACTAGGACTTCCAATACTCAGCAGGCAGTTGTACTTACAGTTAAGATTTATTAGAGCAAAAATATAAAAAGCAAAATCAGTAAAGGGAAAAGGCTCACAGAGAAAAGTTCAGAAGCAATCAAGTGCAAGCTTCTAAGAGTCCTCTCCCAGTGGAGTCACACAGGACACAATTCTTCCAGCAACAAGTTGTGACAACTTGTGAGAAGTGATGTCTACCAGGGATGCTTGTTAGAGACTCGGTATCCACGATTACTACTAGAGCTGGTCGTTTAGACACGCTCTGCCTATCATGTACCAAAGTTCCAGAATCCCACAAGTAAGCAGGTGTTCAGCACACACCACACTGTCTGTAAAATAGTTTAGGTGTAGCAAGCCACTGTTATCATTTGGAAAAAGTTTTATATCAATATAAGGAACTACCCAAGTTCTCAGATGCAGGCCTTTCTAAGAATAGTGGTCTCAGGCTGCTTTGTTTACATATTTTTTGCACAGATGTATTCCTAGGAATAACTATGAATGGAATCTTTATTTTTTCCCCTCTTGTATTTTCTATTTGATTATTTCTGGTGATATAGTTTGGGTATTTGTTCTGTCCAAATCTCATGTGGAAATTTGATCTCCGGTGTTGGAGGTAGGACTGAGTGGGAGGTGTTTGGATTATGGGGGAGAGCCCTCATGAATGGCTTGGGGCCTTCCCCATGGTAATGTGTGAGTTCTTGCTCTATTAATTCACGTGAGAGCTGGTTGTTTAAAAGAGCATGGGCACTCCCCCCTTCTCTCTCTTGCTCTCTTTCTCACCATATGACACACCTGCTTCCCTTTTGCCTTTTGCCTTGATTGGAAACTTCCTGAAGCCCTCATCAAAGGCAGATGCTGGTGCCATGCTTCTTGTACAGCCTGCAGAACTGTGAGCCAAATAAACCTCTTTTCTTTATAAATTACCCAGTCTCAGGTATTCCTTTATAGCAAAGCAAAACTGATTAAGACATGGTGAATAGGACTGCATTACGTTTTTATAGTTGATTTGATACTAGCAACTCTTTAAATTTTAAGACCTTGTCTATAGATCTCTTTGATATTCTAAGTAAATAAAATCATTATCATCAGCAAATATAGACAGTTTTCATCTTTTCATTTCAATTATTTTACTGCTTTTTAAAAATATATCTTATTGTTTAGGACTTCCCATATAATATGGAACAGAAGCATCTCTGTTTTCTTTAAATTCTTTGAAAATGCTAGGTATGATATTTTGAAATCATTTTGTTAAAAAAGAATGGAAGATATTAATATTTGCTGTATCTAGGTGATAGTATGTGAATGATTTTTATTTTCTTCTTTATGCTTTCTGTATTTTCTAGATTTTCCGTAATGAACATACGTTACTTTTTAAATGAAAAAATAACTATTTTTAAATTGTCTAGAAAAATATTTCCCTTTTGAAATATAATTTTGATAAATGTATACATGGAACACTTTGATCAGTCAATAAAAATACTTTATCAGCATCTCTGTCTTTACTTGTCGTGACCATAAATTGAATATGAACAAAACTTTGACCAAGAAACTTAGAAAGGAAATAAAATAGAATTGATTTTTGAAACCAGTAGGATTCGTGCTAGTTCCAGTGGTGACTATCCTGATATAATCCGAGCTCTTTGACCATTAGGATCTGCCTTGTGCACGTTAAGCCCTTTTACCCTTCTCTTCTCAGGCAGGAGGTGCTAGCAGAAAGAGCTAAAGAACTATTATATCTTTAACAGTGTGGTTGCTGGTGGGCAGAATTCCTTCCAAGCCTGTTATAGTTACTGTGCTATGGCATTGATAGGAAGTGGCTCTGAGGGGATTCTTTAGTCAGCTACCTTTTCCCTTTCCCAGGTCTGAGTTGAGTTTGCACTTGAAGGGAAGAAAGGAGTAGACAGGAAAGCATCCAGGTTGTAGGGGCAATATTTCCTGCACAAATAGGGTGATCAAGGATTAAGCACAAACTTGAAATAGATGGTTAGAGTATTTCCCCTTGGATTTACATAGTTAATTTCCTTTATGCCAAAGTTTACCACACCAAAGTCAGATTTCCAGTGTATTCTTTTTCTCTTTATGTAACAAAGGATTTAGAGTTAATTAGTAAAGTTGGTTTCTTAGCATCGTAGCCTATACTGTGTATGCCTTTAGGGATTTATTAATGTACATCATGCTTGTCTCTGGAGGGTTTCTCTTCCTTTATGTTCTATTCTTTTTATTTATCACTTTCATTTTTTGTATTGTACCTTTCAAATATTTCCCATTTTAAAGTGAACTTGTTGTACTGCCTATTGTTCATTGATTGTTTTGTGCAGACACTTGTTAAAAATGATTTATCTTTGCTAAATTTCTTTGGTAGTGGTTTTAATTTTCTTGAGGTATTTTGTTAATTCATTTGAAAGACAGGCCTTTATTTTAGCTGTTCTTTGTTGAAAGGTGTTTGAAATTAGAAACCTTACCCTGGAAATGTTATTCCAGTGGTCCTCTAACTTTACTGTGTATGAAAATTACTTTGGGAGTGTATAAGAAGTACAATCTCGTCCTACTGAATCAGAAGTCCTAAAAGGTGGGACTCAGGCATTTGTATTTTTAACAAGCTCACTACGTGATTCTGATGCATAACAGAGTTTGAGAACTACTGGAACAAACACTTCTTAAATTATTTGCAATTTTATTTTAAATAATTAAAGATCTAATTATAGATTTTATCTACATTTTGTGAATTGATTAAAAAATCAGCACTGAAAAAATCACTTAAATGATAACAAGTTTATTATATGCTTGTATATATTAGTAATATTTGAAAATGTTATTTTAAATCTACATTAATAAAATCTATTCTAGAGTAATATAATTTAAAAAGTTCTGATGTAGGAATAAATTAAAGGACCAAAACAGAGTTCACATATGTTCATATATATGAAAATTTAGGATGTGATAAAAATTACCTATTAAGCCAATTATGTTATTGGATTATTTAATAAATAGTTTAAAAATAGAGCTGGATGTGAGTAATGATTCTTATACTAAAAGAATCTGGCTGCGTGCTGTGGCTCAGGCCTGCAATCCTAGCACTGTGGGAGGCCAAGGTGGGAGGATTGCTTGAGGCCAGGAGTTCAAGACCAGCCTGAGAAAGAGTGAGAGATCCCATCTCTACAAAAAATAGAAAAAAAATTAGCCAGGTGTGGCGCCCCACACCTATAGTCCCAGATACTTGGGAGGCTGAGGCAGGAGGATTGCTTGAGCCCAGGAATTTGAGGTTGCAGTGAGTTATGATGATGCCACTGCACTCTAGCCTGGGTCACAGAGTGAGACTGTCTCAAAAAAAAAAAAAAAAAAAAAGAATTCATTATTGTCAGATTTAAAACTTCAGACAATGAAATCATGAAAGTTATGGATGAAAACCCAGATAAGTTAATTGTATAAACTGGAATGGGGAAGATTTTTCTAAGCATGACACAAAGTCAGAAAGCCTTATTAGGAAAGTTTGATAAACTTGAGAATATAAAAGTTAAATTTCTTATGTAACAAAAACAAAAATACAAACCAAACCGAAACAAAAGGTATAACCAAAAACAAATATCAAACAGGGAAAATGCTTGCCATACCTGGGACAGACAAAAGACCGCTTTTAATTTCCTTAATCTACACATTGCTTAAAAATTGCTAAAAATGGGAGATTTACACAAACATGCTCACACACACAAATGTCCATGCACATACACCTATAAATTCTCATTTATTTAGTTAAGAATGTAAACACTTACGGAAATTAGGTGTTTCCTCTAAGCAGTTGTGGTTCAACACATCATGGTTTGGCTTTCCCGTAGGCTCTTACTTTCCCATCAGTCTACACAGTGGCCATCAACCCTCTCCGTGCATCTAAAACCCACCCCAGAGATGAGATGTTTCAGTGCATTTTGAATATACCACCACTGTACCAAGTATCAATGGAACACCATGCAGAAGTAAAACAAAAAATGAAGTAAACCTTTTAGTTTTGATATGGAAAGACAGCCGAGACACTGAAAGTGAGAAAAATAAACCGTATGTTAGAATGTATAGAATGATTCTGTTTATGGTTAAAGCATGCATACACATACGTGTGCTTATATATGAACAAAATTTCTTGAAGAATACTCAGGAAACCATTAACATTGCCTCTGCCCACTGGGATTTGGAGAGGGGGCTTTTACTTTCAATTTTGTACCCTTTTGTAATGTTTAAGTTTATTTAGCATAAGCACATATTTTGTAAGTTTATAAAACTTAATGAAAAACTATATAAAAAGTTGTCTACAAAATAAATGGTTCAGTTTAAAATTCCTCAGGATTGCATAAATTAATTTCTGTGCCCATGAGTCAAGTATATAAATATTCTAAGGTAATTTTATAAAAGCCTTGAACCAATTGGCTACTAAGGCTGGAGACTTCTTTGCATTGGCCATTGTCACCTTTGTAGGCTGTAACACTGAAGCCTTGTACTATGGGACGCATTTTTCTTTGAATAAGAATTTCAAATATAAAGCACATAAAAAAATATATAAAGTATGGGTTTGGACCAACTGGTGAATGTTTTATTAGGGTTTATGGGACTGATAAGTACCTGTGTAGACCGAGAACCAACTGAGAGATAGATACAAGATTTAGACAAATGAAGGCCAAACCATTAATCTTATTACTGGTAGAAGCAGAATTGGATCATGTGGCTTTAGATCTATGGCCAAAGGTACTTCACAGCCTTCGTTCTCCGAGTGAGAACTAATCCACCCTGTTACAGACATGGCTATATGACCTACAGACCTTTACCACTCAGGGAGAGCTTGTTATTTTTCATAAAAATATTTATGTTAACATGTTATAGGTGTATTACATGTTATTTAGAATGAGTTAATTAAGAAATATTATCAATTAATCTGAGTAAATTAATAAATGTTTTAAAATATCTCAGTTTCAATTTCTAATATGAATCTATGATATG